AGTCGTGGCCGCATGAGACTTGCCGAACAAGTTGCGGGTGAGAGGGTGGGGTTGACGCGGTTTACAAGGGTGTGGGTTGGGTGAGAGGGTGGGGTGAGAGGGTGAGATTTGCCGAACAAGTTGAGGGTGCGAGGGTGAGTTGCCGAACAAGTTGCGATTTACGCGAGCAGTGGAGTTGACAACTCATTATTGGCCTGGATACTTGTGCTAGCTTTAACAGCATAGCTTTTACAATATACTTCACACCACGCAGCTGACACCACATGTATTGCACCGCGCAGCCTACGGCACACAGCTTACACCTCGTAGCTTGCACCGCACAGCTTACACCACATATCTAGCACCACGCTGCTTGCGCCACATTGCTTGCACCACATAGTTTGCACCGGATGGCTTACACTACATAGATTCTACCATAGCTTACTCCACATGACTTGCGCCACATAGCGTACACATCCACAGTGCGATAGCTTACTGTTCGGGGTCCACGCTGGCAAACACTCATGTTGATACTCTTGTTGGGTTTTCTAGAGAGGGGGCGGGAAAGGAGAAGCCATGACGGGGGAGGGAGGCAAATTTTGGAACAGAGAGGGAAGGAGGGAGGGAGGGAGAAAGGGAGCGAAGGACGGAGAATGTGAGCAGACGGGCACGGGGGAGAGACAAGGTGTGGCCCAAACAACTCCTGTATATGTATGATGGGCGCTGTGGAAATCATGCTGTCGTGCTGCGTTATCCTCGCACATGTTCGTGCTATTGATGGTGAGTGCATGCCCTCCGTACTACTGACTGTATTCTAGTCTCGGCTCGACGTACGAAAGTGAGATCTTACAAAGCATGTCCGATAACATGAGCACGCTTCACGCATTCCGAAGCGCACTTCAACATATCGCGGTATCCGTCGATCTGCCACCGCAGAAGTCAAAAGATGCGTCACTACATAATAAACATAGGTTCGCGGGCGCGTGGACGTTACTCCATGCAATGCCGGCTCACAACTGCCGACGCCACGGGGACATCCGAGGGCATGCCGCAGACAAGGAGAAGGAAACAGCTTGGAGGCGGCCGTGGGGTCTGAACTGGTTGGGGTCCCATGAAAATTGTCATGAGGGGGGAGGAAGCGACGTCCGCACAAAAGCGGTCCCCCGACCGCGGGGTACCGTTGTGATAGAAGCTAGTTCCGGCCGAGGGAAAGCGGAGCAGATACATCCTTAAAATATCTAGTGGCCGGGGCCGTTCCGCCTGAGACATCCTCACAACTCTCGTTTCGAGTTATCCGGGATTGGCCGTTTTGCGTGAGAAATCCTCACAACTCTGCGCTCCGAGACGCCGCGCGCGAGGTAGTCTGGAGCGTGTCGCCGGAGACATCTTCCAAGTATACGCTCCGAGCTGCCGCGCGCGAGGTGGTCCAGCGCGTTTCGCCTGAAACATCCTCCCATTTCTGAGCTCCGAGATTTGGCGGCACGCACAAGGGGGTAGCGGGAAGGGGGAAGGCTTCTTGGAAGGAGGCTGCTTCTTAGAAAGCGCCAGCTTTGCATCTACAGACCAGGCCCGCGCCATCTAAGGAGCAGGGATGTTTCTAAGAAGCCCTCCCCCTACCCCCCTCTGCGCGTGGCCGAGAGACGCGGCGCGCGAGGTGGTCCGGCACGTTTCGCTTGAGACATCCTTGCAACTCCGAGCTCCGAGATGCCGCGCGCGAGGTGGTCTGGCGCGTTTCGCCTGAGATATCCTCGCAAGCCGCGCGAGGTGGTCTGGCACGCTTCGCTTTAGACACCCTCGCACCCCTGCGTTCCTTGCAACTCTGAGCTCTAAGAAAATGTGCGCAAGGGCGTGTGGCCCGTTTCGCTTGACATACCCTCCTAGTTCGGGGCTCCGAGATGCTGCGGGCGAGGTGGTCTGGCCCATCTTGCCTGAGATCTCCTCGAAACTCTGGGCGGGCTCCGAGAGGGAGGGAAAAAGGAGGGAGGGGGAGTCAGACCCGAAGGACTCATTTGATTACACGTCTGTTGTCGAATTGTGCTCTGGGAGGGGGCTGGGCGCCGCCTGAGACACCCTCGCAACTCTGAGCTCCCAGATGCCGCACGCGTGGTGGTCCAGCCCGTTTCGCCTGCAATTCGGGGCTCCGAGGTTCTGCGCGCGAGGTGGTCCAGCCGCTCGCACGAGACATCCTCGGAACCCAGGGCGCCTTGAAGATGCGCGCGAGGTGGTCCAGCTCGTTTCGCCTGAGACATGCTCGCAACTCTGGGCTCTCAGAAAATGTGCGCGAGGTGGTCTGGCGCGTCTCGCTTGAAACATCCTCGCGACTCTGGGCTCCGAGATGCCGCGCCAGAGGTGGTCCAGCTCGTTTCGCCTGAATCATCCTTGCACGTCTGAGCACTGAGAAAATGTGCGCTCTGGCCCGTTTCGCTGGAAATATCCTCGCAATCAGGGGCTCCGAGATGCTGCGGGTGAGGTGGTCTGGCCCGCTCCGCCTGAGACATCCTCGAAATTCTGGGCTTCGAAAGGGAGGAGAAAGGAGGGAGGAGTCAGACCCCAACAAACCATTTGATTCCACGACTGTTGTCAAATTGTGCTCCAGGAAGGGTCTGGGCGCCGCCTGAAACATCCTCGCAACTCTGAACATCCCTGAGTTCCCAGATGACGCACGCGCTGTGGTCCAGCCCGTTTCGCACGAGACATCCTCGCAATGCGGGGCTCCGAGATGCTGCGCGCGAGGTGGTCCAGCCCGTTTCGCCTGTGACATCCTCGCAACTCAGGGCTCCTTGAAGCTGTGCGCGAAGTGGTCCAGCTGGGTTTTACCTGAAACATCCTCGCACCTCTGGGCTCCCAGAAAATGTGCGGGAGGTGGTCTGGCGTGTCTCGCTTGATACGTCCTCGCAACTCTGGGCTCCGAGATGCCGCGCCAGAGGTGGTCCGGCCCGTTTCGCCTGAGACGTCCTGGAGTCGATGGGCCCCGGGAGGAAGTAGAAAGAAGCGAGGAGGGGTCAGACCCAAACAAATCATTTGATTACACTTACATATGTGGTCGAATTGTGCTCGAGGAGAGGTCTGGGCGCCACTGGCCCGACGGAGGAGGTTGCTGGCGCCGAAGCGCGAGCAAGAATCCTTGGTAATTTGCCAGGGCGTGTCGAAGGGATCATGCTGGAGCAAATCGTAGAGATGCCTCGAGCGAGAGGGCGGCGAGCAAGGAGAGGGCAGGATGGGAACGGAGAGGGGAAGGACGAGAGAGGATAGACGGAGGGAGACAGCACTCCGAGATGCTGCGAACGAGGTGGCCCAGTTCGTTTCGCCTGAAACATCCTTGCACTTCTGAGCTCTGAAAATCTGGCCCGTTTCGCTTCACCTATCCTCCCACGTCAGGGCTCCGAGATGCTGCGGGCGAGGTGGCCTGGCCCGTTTCGCCTGAGACATCCTCGAAACTCTTGGCTCCGAGAGGAAGGAGAGTTCATACCCAAACGAAGCATGTGGCTACACATGTGTTGTCGAATTGACGGGGCCAGGCTCAAACGCTACCTGTGTGAGGACATTTCTGACGAGGGTGCCTCCTGGAAGCGGCATCGAGAATGGCGGGGAACGCGGAGAAGACGAGGAAGAAGAGGAGGAGGAAGAGGAGGAGGAGGAGCAGCAGCAGCAGGAAAAGCAGGAGGGGAGGAGCAGGAGGAGGAGGACGAGGAGGAGGAGGATGAGGAACAGGACGGAGTGGACGAGGAGAAGGGGGAGGAGGAGGAGGAGGAGGAGGAGGAGGAGGAGGAGGAAGAGGAGGAGGAGAAGGAAGAGGAGGAAGCGGAGGAGGAGGAGGAATGCGACGACGAGAAGGAGGAGGAGAAGGAGGAAGAGGTGGAAGAGGAACATTGCGAGAAGGAGGAGGAGGCGGAGGAGGAGGGGGAGGAGGAGGAGTACTGCGAAGCGGAGGAGGACGAGGAACACGAGGAGTACGACGAGGAATATAAAGAGGAGCGCGGCGAGCAGGAGGAGAAGGAGGCGGAGGAGGAGGAGCAGGAAGAGCAATGCAAGGAGGAGGTCGATGACGAGGTAGAGGATGAAGAGGAGGAGGAGGAGGAGGAGGAGGGGGAGGAGGAGGAAGAAACCACTGCAAACCCAAGACTCATCAACGATGTTGGAATACACCCTCCCTCCAAGCTCCCTCTTCACAAACCCCTACATGTATTCGTTTCCACTGAGGGAAATGCCCAGTTGGTAAACAACCGTGTAAAAATCCTGACGCATGCCAAAACACCATTCTCCGGACTTCAACGCCACGAATCAACATGACTGTTACGTCTTGGCGGTCCTGAATTGTAACAAAACACCATTCTTGGGGACCCGGCACCGCGAATCAACGTAACTGATGCGCCCTGACAAGCCTGAATCGTTCCAAAGCACCGTCTCTGGTACGTATGCTGACCATGAGAACCCGCGAAACTCTTGCAGGCGTTTGCAACGAATGTGCGCGGCGTTGAAGCGAGAACCGCATTTTGAACAGGAGCCGCCCTCAATCCGTGAAGCTGTTGCAATGTTTGAAGACGAATGCACGCGGCGCTGAAAAACACCTGTCCTCAGTCCGTGAAGATCTTGCAGCAGTTTCAAGCAAACGCGCGCGGCGCTAAGGCGAGAACCACATTTTGAAAACGACCCGCCTTCCATATGTGAAGCTGTTTCCAGCATCTACGCTTCAGGCTAATGAGTGGTAAGGAAGCATCAGGCGAAACAGCCGGCCCGCCCTTCACACTGGCCTCGGGGTGCGACAGTGAGCAGTTATTCATGAGGAAAAAGAACGGAGGAGAACGAGGAGGAAGAGGAAAATTAAGAACATGACCAGGAAAAACACCAGGAACATGAGGATTTCGTATGAAAGGGACGACCAGGAGTAACATCAGAAGATACAGGAGGAGGACGAGGAGGAGGAGGAGGAGGAGGAGAAGGAAAAAGAAGAAGAAGAAGAAGAAGAAGAAGAGAAGGGAAACGAGGAATGATGAGGAGGATGAAGAGACGGGGAGGAGGACCATTCTTTCTGCAGGTGCACCACTCTTCCCTCCTCCCGTGCACGACCCCGCCGAAGACGATGAACTCCAGGCACGCGCGCCCCGTGAACTTAACGAAGCACGCGGAGTCGAAGCCGACGTCGACGATGCCGAACAGGGAAAGCGACAACTCCTGGCTATGGTCCCGCACCAGGGCCAGGCAGCCCGCGAAGAAAGCACTTCACAGAATATGCGCCGCAACGGTGAACCGCTGCTCCAGCTTCGGAGGCCAGCACAAGGGGCAGAGGAGCATGTCGTAGTCCTTGCGCCAGAGCGCTTCGGAGTCCGATCCGTCGGACTCAGCGATGACGACAAAGCAACAGTCACACGCGCGAAGGGCGCGATGATGAAGGCGTCGATGGCCTGGAACGCGTGGACGACGGCGCACGTCTCCAGATGGCCCCCCCTCGCAGCTGGGAAGCTGGACGCCACCACCGTGAAGAACATGTTGCTGAGGCCCTCACCATCGCAGGAGGCAGTCTCGCAGTTAGCGTGCACGACGGTGCCACCACAGCTGGACGCGAAGGCGTCCATGTCGGAGCGCACAAATCACCCTTCATGTGGCACCGTGGCAGCGCACCCCAAATAAGGCCCATCGGAGCACGCAGGCGCTACGCGACGCAGCGGGAGCGCGACTTCCGTAGACAGCCTTTCCGCCTCCTGCTCCTCGACCGTGAGATGGGAAAGGCCAGGATCGCAGGACTCGCAGAGTGGCTCCCGAAGGCCTTGCAGGTGGATAAAGTGAACCAAACCTGGCCAGAGTCGTCCACCGCTGCGTAGGGACGAACTCCTGCTCCTGAAACTGCTCCGCGACAAAATTGGGCTCCTCGCCAAGTGATGAACGACGAATCCACGTCGGCCAGCCCGCACCAGTATCCGCCGCCAGGCACGAAGGGCGCGGCATGCTTCGAGAGGACGCCGATTCTGGACTCGAGACGAGGCCCGTGCTGAGCCTTCCGAAGAGTGGACGCGTCCGCCATGTCGATGGTGACGCCTGGCGCAACAGGATGAAGCGCCGCGTTCCTGCGCAGCCTCGCCGGCCACCCAGCAGAGCGCCCCTCAAGCAATGCCGTCAGCGCTGGGAGGATGGCGCGCACGCGCCCCGCCTCCTCCGCGCTGCCCAGAAGCCCGTCCAGCGTCTCCACAACGGCGTCCAGCTCCGACTTGGCACGGGCGAGTTTCTCGGACAGCCTGACCACGGCCCTGTCGGCGGGGCGACGGGCCCAGTCGCAGGCAGCCTTGCGCTGGCCAAGCGAACGCCTCGGAAGGGCAACACCCCCGCCCTCCCGCGCCATTCTTCTCAAGCAACAGCACCCGGACCGGCCATGAACGCAGGCAAATGGTCAAATGGCGACCAGGGGGCTTGAGACAAGCTTGAGCCAAAATGGCTACGGAGGGGGGAAGGAGGACCAGGAGGATCGGTATGAGGAGGCTGGCGAGGAGAAGGAGGAGAAACGGGAGGAAGAGAGAAGGGGGACGAGAAGGATAAGGTGTAGTGGAAGGGGGATAATTAGGGCGAGCAGGAGACGTACGTGGATGCGGGTGAGGACGACCAAGACGACGACCACGAAAAGCTCGACGACGCCGCCGAAGGCGCAGGCGGATCAGACGCAGGAGAACGCGCGAATACCCTTAATTAGGAGCCACCCTGCCTCAAACAACGCTGCTTGTGGGTACTGGACTCTGGCTATCATCCACGGTCCCCGGGCCCGAAAACAGCCCTCGGGAGGCCGGAGAAGGCAAAACCCACCCAGAACCTTGGATAGACGCCGCCTAGATGGGATCCGAGTATGGGGTCGGAGGATCGCGACGCATCGGCGACGTCGGCGATGCATCGGCGGCGTCGGCGAGGAGAAAATCGGGCTCCACATCGAGCCGCCTCGGCGGTGCATCGGCGATGCGGCGCGATCCTCCGGCCCGATCTGCTCGGACCCCCATCCAGGAGGCCTAGCGATCGAACCTGCCCGCCCGTCCTGCTGGCCAGAGCCGGTGCTGGGCCACCTCAGACTTCAGACCCCCAGACGGCTCCAAGAAGCAGCCGAGGCGGCGGCGGCCGCAGGCCTCGCTGGCCGATCCCGCGGAGCCGTCGAGGGCCGCCTCCCCCGCCTCGAGGCCGCCGGGCTGCCCTCTGGGCCGCCCGCACAGCGGCTCGGCGACCGCCGGGGCGCCCCGCGCCGAGTCGCTGGGCCTCCGGAGGGGTCGTCGTCCTCGTCGTCGCCAACGCCGTCGCGCGCGCGGGGGCCCCGGAGAGAGAGGAGGGAGGGCGGAGGGGAGTGGGGGGGGAGGCAAGGGGGGGAGGAGATGGGGACGGGGAGGGGTGAGGAAGACCGACGAGGGGAGATGGACGTGGGGGGGGGGTATTGGAAGGGGCCGCCGTTGTCGTGCTCGTCCTCGTCCTCGTCCTCGTCCTCCTCCTCCTCCTCCTCTTCTTCCGCCGCCAGCGCTGGCGAAACCGACGACGGCGACGGCGACGGCGACGGCGATGGCGGCGGCGGCGGCGGCGGCGACGAAGACGACGGCGGCGGCACAGGGGCGAGGGTCTTCCAGGGCCTCACGGCGCGCTCCACCTCCGAGACCCGGCGCTCGAGGTCGTCGAGCACCTCCAGGTGGGCCGCGACCTCCTGGCCGGGCGTCGTCGGCCGTCGCCGCCGTGGGGGCCCTGCCGGGCTGCCACGGGGGGGTGGGCGCTGGTCGGAGGCGAGCGAGGGGGGGTAGCGAGAACGAGAAGGCCGTCGTTGAAGGCGGCGGGACTTTTCAGAAGCCCTCCGGTTCTCTGAGAGGATTCCTGCGTCCTCGGGGAAGAAGGGTGAGAAAACTCTTCGGAAGGCCGGGTAGGAACTTCCGAGCCTTTTGAGAAGACCTTCTCCTTCTCGCTTGCTCGCCGCCGAGCTGGGGGCTGGGCTTCGGGCCTGGCACGCCCGATCCTCGATGGGAAACGAGGGGGAAGAGAGGGAGCAGGATGAGGGAGGGAGGCGTAAGACCCGGGTACAGGGGACTCGGAAATCCCCGACGAGGTCGTCAAAAAAATGACGAGGCCGAGCCTGCATTTTGACGAGGCCTCCCGCTGCAGACATCCCACGAAACTCCTACTCGTCAAAATCCGAGTCGCGGTCGTCAAAAAAACGATGGCCAACCCGAGTCCTGGCAAACCCAGGTCTTACGCTCCCCCGAATGAGGGAGGGAGGGCACAAGGGCACACGGCATGGCAGGACGTACCGGCACCAGACAGTCAACCGCCAGCGCACTGATGGAATGGAATCACGGCGTGGCCCTCGCGGGATCGTCTCCCACCCACCAACCCACCCACCCACCCAAAGTGAAAGGGCCCCCCATCAAGAATGCGATACAGTGCCTCCTCAGCCTTCGGCGAATACACCTCTGAGTGTGGCCTTGAGAGAACGAGGGCCTCTGCGAGGAATGAGCTCCGCCGCGAACCCAATACCCTGGATCCCACTTGGTGGTCCAAGGTCGGGCCAGGTCGGTGGCGAAAATACGCGTGGCACAGCATCGGCATCCGCGCCGCCGTCCAGGGACACCCGTTCTGGCCCTGCGATTATTCCTCGGAGTCCTCCGCCGTGCCCACGCCGAGGCGGTGAAAAGGGCGCGGATGGGCGATGGAACGCGTTGCCGCGCAGACGCTCTACCCAGCCCCGCTGCAGCTGGAGAAATTGTGGTTGATTTCGTCAGTTTGCCCCTCTCACCTCCCTCTGCAGCACGATCAGCGCTGACCGACGTGAGCGCCGTGCGACGCCGGCTTCGCTCCTGCCAAGGTCCGACAGGCTGCATGGCAGGTGCCAGGAGCCGCCCGCGCACAGGCCAACCGTCGTCGTAACGGTGACCATCGTTGCTGCAGGTCGTCCGGGATAGGGCGATGGAGCCACCACGTGCGAAGACGGACGATGGGAGAGGAGGAGGAGGAGGAGGAGGAGGAGGAGGAGGAGGAGGAGGAGGAGGAGGAGGAAAAGGAGGAGGAGGAGGAGGAAGAAGAGGAGGAGGAGGACGACGAGGAGGAAGAGGAGGAGGCGGAAGAGGCGGAGGAGGAGCAGAGCAGAGCAGAATCTCGTGGAGTCCATGTCTGAACGCTGGCCAGGCCCTAACCTCGTTAAATCAGACTGTGCTCTGAGAAGGTTCCTTCGAAACCACACCATTTACGATGCAAGCCTGAAAAAAGGCTCACAGCCCGAACTGCACTGGCCTGGCATGCACCCCTATGGGCACGCGGCCCTCCGAGGGGGCCCGCACACCTAGGCGCGACGACCTCTTCCCTTCCCCCGCCCCCCAGAGCTCACCCCCCGCCTCCCACGCCCAGAGTGTCGGCCTCTACCACGATTCAGAACTACGACAGGTACTGTTGGTGCCTCAGGCACCGCTACGCCAACGGGTCTCTCCTCAAAAACTCGGGGCCTAGTGAGGGCCCTTTCCACCTGGTCCCGAGACACACGACCCGAGGAAATCAACTCAGCAACTCTGGAACTGTTGCGAAACCACTCGGCCTGGTCCTCACTTTGCCTACTCAGTCGTTCTTGTTGCGGTCCAGATACTTCGAGATCTCCCTCTCCAATGGCCCGCGCGGGGCCGAGCCTGAGAGGAACGAGCCCCCCTCCACAGACACCAGGCTCTCGATCATGGGGCCCACCGCGGAGCCCATCTGGGTGTTCAGGTCCATCCGAAACAAGAACGTGCACATCCTCCGTTTCCCTGCTTCTTCCCGATGGAGACGGACCCGAAAATACTAGACTGCCCTCTCCACCTCGGTCATCGGGGCCTTGGAAAGTCTCTCGTCCCAATGCCCGCGCATCTCCCGCCTCAAGTGCTCGGCCTTCTGAAGCTTCGCGGGATCTGCCTCCTCTGCCACCGCCTTGGTGGCCCCATACTCCATCACTGCCATGAATACCGACAAATGGGGAGCCCCGCGAGATTTGTGGTCGACTTTTTCTCCTGATTCGCTCCGCTTGCGAAGGGCCATGCTCTCGTCGTTGTATTGCTTCCCTGCCGCGACTGCGGCTGCGATCATGCCTTGGCCAGCGTCCATCTCGTACCTGAGGTAGCAGACAGCGCTGAGCTCGGCCAACTCCCGAGCGTTGGCTAGTACGAGCTTGCAAATGGTTGCAATGATCTTGTCGTCCTTCACCTTCTGCCCTCTGGTGTTGTTGCCGCCTGTGCCCTTCTGTTTCTTGCCATCGGGCGGCTTGTCCGCATCGCCCCCTGTCACCAGGGCTCCGCTGCGCTAAGCAGGTCTCGGGGCGGCCTTTCCCAACATGGATGCATCCTCTACCTCGGGCATCTTCGGAGACGTGTAGTCGAATGAAAGGTGCAATCTTGACAGGGAGGTGGCTTCGGAGATGGCGACACAACGAAACCGCATCCTCTCCAATATACTCGCAACACGGGCACTCATAGGAATCAGGAGCCACAAGCGGGGCGAAAGAGCGGGGCCCACACGTAATACAGTGACCTCGTTGTGTTAACCGAAGGAGGTGGCGGGCTGCCGTAGTGGATGTGCTAAATATCTGAGGGCAATGTATACACGCGTTGCTGGGAGTAAGAACATGTGCAAGGCTTTGTAGTTTATGATAGTGCCGAAGATGTTCCAAGTGGCCTTTGCGCGTGCAGAATGCGGCTCCACAGGGCTCCCCATTGAGGTCCATCGTGCAGTAGTGCGTGCGATCATGATCCTCAGGTGCATGTTCATCTTGACCTCCAAGTCCACCCTGACCTCCTCCCTCCTTGCCCTCAGGAACGACGAAACCTGGAAAAAGGATACAGACGGTAAACGCCTGACTTCGAAGTTCAGTAAGATCCACTCGCACAAAGTCCCCAGAAATCTCGGAATCAAGGAGTAAATTCAGATCCTCGGCAAACATTCGAATCACCTCATATGGCAACAGGCGGGAGACTCGATCAAAGTCATCGGCAACTTGTTTTGCCCACGGCGAAGCATGCGCAGACGGTCTCCCACGGCAGAGAGGTGCACCAGTTCTCTCGATTGGAGAAGCACCAAACAGCGCGCACAAAACTTGCTGATGTTCCATTGGGTGAGCACTCCACGATTGATACAGCTTCACCCGTCTAATTAAGAGCTCCAGCGAACACGGGACGAGCTTCCAGTGATCCAAGACCTGCTTATTCGAGAGACTGGTCACGCACGGGCCCTCCCAAGACGTCGCCTTCCCAAGCGTCGCTACTCGCCCAAGCCCTGCAAGACATCGATCCAGAATCCCAGCGTCCGCCTCCGTAACCACAAAGCTCTCCAACCCGCTCATTCTGAACGAACCCGATGAACAGACTACGTTTCCATCGCTTCGGGATGCCCAGACTCCACGCCCTGCCCAAAGAGAAGAATCCAGACCTAGCAGCACTGCACGTCCTGGAGATCTCCGATCGGGCCGAGACACTCATGCTAAGGTAGGGGCCCAAGTACCTCACGTGGTCCCTGACCGAGCCATGGAGGAGACCTGGCTGGTGGCGGAGCAACTGGCGGCGCAGATAGCTGCGTTCAGCAAAGAGCATAAGGAACTCCTGCTTTGAAGGGTTCTGACCATATCCGCATTCGTCGAGACAACTGTCCAAACGAGAATCCACCGCCACAATCTTAGACGTGAAGTCCGCAAGAGACTGCATCGGTTCGGCGAGCACAAAACTGTCGATGTCATCAGCAAACTTAAAGGTACTCACGTCCGCGCGTAGCTCATGCCATGATGCCTTGAGCATGCTGGCCTGAGGGTCCGCCGACTGCTCGCCATACCTCCACGACAAGATGGGACGGGAGAGTGTACCACAAAAAGCTCGGACAGCAAATGGGTCCCCCATCGTGTTCCCCTGCAAGGGGCGAACCATGAGAGGGCCTTCCAGTGCCTCCAAGGAGATGACCACGTTCTGAAATCGTTGCTGGCAGAGAAGTCGATCCTCCTCCTTCGCATGTAGCTGCGCAGTGACGTTAAGCTGATCCCACAAGGAGCTGCCGAAGGAATTGGACATATCTTTAAGTGTCATCGCATGAGTAATGCCCTGCGCCCTCGATCTCCACGACGTTGCAAGAGCTCCAAGCACTGCGTCCTCGCGCCGACGATGTCGGACATAGCCATGAGCATTGACCACCGGGGGCGGCTGCAGCAGCTGAGCGTGGAACCCCTTGCCCACCGCAGACATGACATGAACCGCCCGACGACCGCGAGGACCAGGTTGATCAGATTTACGAAGTCCAGCACCGTCCGTGCGATGCCAGTAAAGTGGCGTGACATTATGCATTCGTATCTTAGAGAAACCAACTGAGACCAAGAAATTGAAACCACTAGTAGATGGCTGCTCACCCTCAAAGCCAAGACCCAGTCCGCGCTGGCGTTTGAACGTCCGCCATGGCATGAGCATCATGTGCCATGGTTCCAGTGGGGCAGTGAACTGTGGGACCGCCCTGCGCTTAGCGGCGTGGCGAAGCCACTGGATTACCCGCTTCATGTCCGCCTCTGCTAACTCAAATATCGCCTCCTCAGGCAGCCAGAAGAAAGTCCTGTCATCCCGATGCTCGCGCCAAGAATCCCAATCCTGCGGAATAACAGACATGCCACCAGCTGCCCCTTCACGTTCCCAGACATCAAGCCAGGCACTTGCCGTTGGGGGTGCACTGCGTACAAGAAGCCCGCCACGCTTCTTCGGGCCAATGCGTGTCTGGGCTGCACGGCGAGCGAGTCGCATGGCCTCCGCCTGGCGAGACTTGCCCCACAGCTCGGAGGCCTCGGCCACCAACTGAGCGCGAAGAGCTCTGAGTTCACGCCTGCGAAGGAGGCGCTGTTCCTGCGATATCCTCTTCAGCTCAGCATCGATGCGTTGGGCCCCCTCTGCGCCGAGAAAGATTTTTTCCCGTAGGGTCGCCCGAACATGTAGCATATCTCGACGACGGCGACATTCCTCCTGGCGAGCCTCATCCCGAGAAACATTGCGTCCAAAATGTGTCTGGTCAGCCTCAATCAGAACAGCCTCTAGGTGCTCGAAGATGACATCAGGAGATGAATAGTCTCTGAGATCAACGCACCCCCCCCGCGCGCCCAGGCCTGCTTGAACGCTAGTAAGAAAATCCGCTCGCCCAGGGCCCCGCAACAAAGCACTCATCATACGGTCGCGATCCCAGCAGAGCCTCTCCTGAGCCGCAGATGGTCCCAAGACATGTTTGTCGTGCAAAAGAATGCATCCACTCGGAAGGTGATCACGGGGACTCGGGCCATCATAAGCCTACAAACGGGACCCGAGTCGTCGCAGAACATTACACTGAAGGAGCTGATCAAACATGCCCGATGGAAGGAATAAGTAATCGATGCGCGAGCGGGCACCATGAAGACCGTAGTATGTGGGAATGACCTCGGTGCCCCTAGCGTTGGCGGCAAACATGTCATGCGGTTCCAGAACTTCCCGAAGGGACTCACCTGCACCGCGTCGAAGTCTCTCCTGAGAGGCAGCCTGCACAACACGAGTCTCAACCGAACTGCCGCCAACCGCGATGCCAATCCCGTCGCTAGCGTCGCAATACACAATGGGTGTCGTGCGCAACGGAAGAGAAGCCAGGACGTCTCGGAGCCAAGCACACAAAGCTTTGACCGTGCGCAGATACTGAGCTCGTTGCTGCAGCGAAGACGGCTTCGGAGGAAAATAGAGAGACACAGCACACACATCGCATCGACCCCTCTTCACCCGCACCGCCAAGCACCTCCCTTTCAGTTCACTCGGAGAGGCCCAAACCTGCATCGCATGTTTCTCCTGCAGTCCCTTCCCCAGAATAACCGAACAGCCAGCAGACGCATTACTGAGAGGAGCGGACGGACCAAACGGCGCCTCAAGAACACATCGCCCCAGAACGCGCCTCTTCGTGACAATGCTACCATGCCTCTGCTGCCTCCGTTCAGCCGCCTGAGTGCCGGCAAGCAAAATCAGATCAAAGTTGGAAGTCTCTGCCACAACCTCTTCAAGTCTCTCTCCTGTGCACGATTGGGGATTCCACCCCAGCAAGCGGAGATGCTGCGACATCCCCGCCCTCGTTCAGGCAAGAAGCAACTGGAGAGAAGTGCCTCCATCAACAAGCACGTAGTACAGTATCATCTGACCATGGTTCGGTAAAGGCTTCGCGCGCGAACCCTGGGCCTGGCGGAGGAGGAGGAGGAGGAGGACGACGAGGACGAGGAGGAGGCGGAGGCGGAGGAGGAGGAGGAGGAGGAGGAGAAGGAGGGCGACGACGATGACGACGACGACCACGACGACGAGGAAGGGGGGGAGGAGAAGTCGAACTGGGGGGCGAGGGTCTTGCGGGCGCGCACATTGGGCGGTCGTGCGCGCGCTAGCGCGCTGCGCGCGAGGGCGGCGGCCCGCCGCAGCCGCCGGGCGGCCCCCCCCAATCGCTGCCGGGCTGCCCGCGGCCGCGTCGGCCTCGGCTTCGGGCGCCGCGGTCGGGCGCTGGGCCCTGGGCCGCCGTTGGGTCCAGAGGGCGGCAGCCCATCGGCCCCGCAGCGCAGCAAGGGCCAGGAACACTGCGAACGCCTGTGCTTGCCATGCTACGGCGCAGGAGGAGGAAGTGGATCAGGTGCATCAGATAATTGAGTTTGTCCTTCGCGTCCCGCGGAAGGGAGGCTAGGCCTGGAGCGCCACGCCACCAAAACCACCACGCCCCCCCCTGCCCGCGCCTTGGCCTCCGCAGAGCCAGGACGACCAGGAGGGGGGGATGGCGCTTCCAGGCCAGCCTCCCCCATGAGCCTCGCCGAGGCCTTTAGCTCTCTCAGAGCTCCACGCCAAGCGCCTCCAGGACCTCGCACCGGTCCTTGAGCGCCGTGCTGAGGACCGCGCCCTTGGAGGTGCCCACGTTGTTGAGGCCGGGCTTCGCGAGAGTGCCGTTCAGCATCTCCAGCCTCATGGCCTCGATCTGCTTCGCGCCGTAGAGGTCGCCCGACGAGCCCGCGCCGCGGGCCTCACTAGTGCCCTGCAGCACTCGCCGCGGCCATCCTGCTCCATCAGCTTGCCGCGCAAGACAGTGGCACCGTCGAAGCCCACGCCAACGCTGCTCGACTGCTCCACCTGCTTGACCTTCTACTTTTTCTTCTTCTTCCTGTGCTTCAACTTGCCGTGCGTGTCGGAGGCTGCGTCGAGGCCTACGAAGCTGCTCGACTGCTCCACCTGCTCTACCTGCGTGCCGTACTTGTCGAAGGCACCGTCGAGGCCCTCGCACCAGCTGCTCGACTGCTCCTCCTGCTGCACTTCCTGCTTGCCGTGCGTGTCGGAGGCTACGTCGAGGCCCACGCTCGCGCTGCTCGACAATACCACCTGCTGCACCTCCTGCTTGTCGTTCTGGTCGGACGCACCATCGAGGCCCACGCACCCGCTGCTTGACTGCTCCCCCTGAAGGCCCACACCCACGAGGCTCGACACTTCCACGCGCTTCACCTTCAGCATGCCGCCCACGAGAATCTGGGACACTCGACGCCACCGAGCACGCTGAACCTGTTCGAGACGCCAACGTTGAACACCAGCTCCTTGGACGTGCCGTCCTCGCTCGCCTTGGGGTCGACGGCGGCGCCCTTGCACCAGTCCATGAGCGTTTCGCCGTGGAACTCCCCCTCGAACACGTTGCTCTCGCTGTCCACGAGGTCGAAGCAGTCGACCCGCCTCAGTCCAGCACCTCCAGACCAGCTCCACGCCAACTGATCGGAGGAAGGCTGGGGTCCTCGGGCGTCTTGTCCTGATTGTAATTGTTTTGCTCATGTTTCTTACATATGTACCGTCTTCTCCTTCCCCGCCTTCTTCGAGCGCACGTTCACGCTGTGCTTCTGGGCCTACAACGCCCGCTCGAAGTCCAGCCTCGCCTGGGACTTGCGGACGACGCTACCCGCTTCACCGCAGCTCTGGGACTTCTCCATCATCGTCTGCTGGCAGGGCCCAACGCCCCCTGGGGCGGCGACGGCGGCGCCACGGATCCGTCCAGGATCGCCAGCGGTTGCGAGGCCACGGGCGTGGACGACGGCCTCGCCGTGGGCCGCGCCTGTGCTGGCACCTCGCCCAGCGCCTGGCGCGCCGCCCTCTGCGACGGCGCGCGGGGCGGCGAGCTCGGCACGCGAGCCCCGCGCAGCACGCGCCCCGCCGCCTCCGCCGCCGACGAGACAGCCGCCTGGACGGTCCCCGCGGTGTCCGCATCCCCCACGCGCCGGCGCCAGAGCGGCATCCGTCTGCGCCCCACGCCATGCCATCCAATGGCCCTCGCCAGCTGCGCCACTCCGGAGAGCGCTGGCGAACGCGCGAAAACCCCGAGCTGCGGAGCGCCCCTGCTCGCGTCGAAGTGGTTCGGAGGAGGAAGAAGAGGAGGGAGGAGGAAGAAGAGGAGGAGGAGGAGGAGGAGGAGGAGGCAGGAGGAGGAGGCCGGAGGAGGAGGAGACGTTGTTTGGCCATTTCTGGGCCTCCAGCGGCCACCAGAGACCTCTGGTGGCGAAGAGAAAAACATACACGATTCGCAATGTTCGGGGTCCAAGAGCCGTTCCCAGGCCTCGGGGCATTCGAGAAACGACTCGGGATGAAAATCAGACCCAGAAGAACAATGGCAAAGAAGAAGGGGGAGCTCATGACAAAGGACATCAAGTGCGCCCTGAACTACAACGCAATCGACGAGGTAAAACGATATGCTGTGGGCCACGCATGTGCGAGACACCAAGCACGACTTTGAGCTGACGGAGGACATCACCAATCTGGCGGACCTGTTCACGTGTTGCCCGCTCTGATACTGGATCTGCTGGACTAGCCACTCCAGCACCCCGCCAGCCTTCATCCAGAACGTTCTGATCTGAAACTTATACATTAGTATTTCGAGCGGCAGTTTATTTTTCTCGCAATATCAATCACACGCAGCCAACAATTGTAGACGACGACGTTGCCACGCAACAGGTACTCCCTACCCACCTCCCTCTCATTAGCCTCGCTCTCCTCTCCTCGACTCTCCCCGAATACGCCCGCACGCAGACGAATCTTCGTATTCTGCTCACTCTTTCTAGGCACGCCGTCTGTGCGATTCGGAGCGGCCACCGCCCATTCGACGTCAACCTGTAGATGCCAGCAGCTCCGTGCGGGGTATTCCCTCATCCTAACTCGACTCTTTCTCTCGAGGTCTGCGGGCTCAGGGCATTACGTATGATCAGCGGAAGGGAATGGGGGTGTCAGCTCCGACGTGTGCACGCTTGACTGCCCGCTCATGTGAGCAGCACCGTGCGCAGCGTTCGGCCGAAAGGCAAGAGGCAGTCCCTGCACTGCAGCGGCGAGCACATAACTGTATAACATTTTGAATGCGTGGGA